ATGATGTTCATCTGGTACTTGAAATACTTTGTAGGCCCAGCTGTGCTATTTTTTGCTTCTTAAAATCTTTGAGAAAATGTTGTTGAGAATCAACTCTTGCATGTCATACAATCACAATCTTTATTGCGGACACTGTGCATAAAAAGAATCTTTGTTTCATAAAAACTCCTTGGTGCATTGCTAATCTGAAGGCATTTTTACAAAGTAGTCCTGAGGTACTCTGTCTTTGCATTTCTGCCGTGCTTTTCCAGCCTCAGAATAGTTAAGAACTACCTCTTCTCTGATCCTCACAGGCTGCCAAAATTAGTCATGCTGCCTCCACTTTGGCCCAAGGTTATGTGCCAGTGCTTCCAGTCACCTCGATTAGTTATTCAGTACTGTATGTAAGGAGCCCATTAGCAAGTGGGTGGCCTATAACATCTAATGAGTGTGTACATTTTTTCAAAAGAAAAGTGCTTCCAAGTGCTACTATATTACAGAGGAGGACTGTATAATGCTTCCTAAACTCAGTATTAAAAATATAACTCTCCAAAAGTGTGCATTGTATTTTGAGTAGCTAAATTAACCCTGAGCTCTTTTGCTGCCCCTTTAAGCTTAATGGATAACATACATGGTCTGCGAGTCCTCTGACTGTACTGCTCATATATTTGGGAAAGAGGCCTTCATAAAGAAAAAAAGAAGAGGCATTCATTTTTTCATCACGCAACATGGAGCTATATTTCTGCTGTTGTTCCAAATGCTTAGTGCAGAATAGTTTTGTTTGTTTTCTTAAATAAGAATTCAAGAGTTACAAAAAAAGGGAAAAACAGTTGGAAAATTAATAAAAACTGGACAACAGTAAAAAAATTAAAGGCAGGCAGAAGTCATCTAACATGTTTGAAAAAGGGGTTATGCATAGCTGGACAAGAATGGGCAGAAGAGAAATTACATCTTTGTCCTTTGTTTTATCAGGCTTCAAAAGTCAAATCATGCACTCCTGATAGTATTATAACTTCATTTTGGTTTATATACTTCTAAAGTGTAACTGAGTAAAAACCCAGGAATTGGCTTTATGTTGAGAAAATGGTTTCTTTCCATGGAAAGCATTACATATTTATGTAGAAACTTTTTTAGACTTATCTTCTGAAATACTAAATATAATGTGTGGTACATTGTGCCAGACCAATGCCCTTTTGTCAGGTAAAGCTGCTACTTTGGTTTTACTACTCTTTTTTTTTTTTTTTTTTCCTATCTTTTATAGGTTTGTGTGCAGCTTGGTATACTACGGTCTTACCCTGAATGCAGGTGACTTAGGTGGAAGTATTTACACCAATTTAGCCCTTTCGGGGTTGATAGAAATTCCAGCATACCCGATCTGTATTTACTTGATTAACCAAAAATGGTAAGTAGGTAATTCACTAACCCCTTCAGAGTGGTTTTTCACTTGAGATAAATTCTTAAGATAAATTTCCAGCGTATTGGATCTCCTGGCTTATTTCCATTGTTTGGAGCTTTCTGTTTTAGTTTAATTCGTTATGTCCTCCTGGGGAAATGTATTTCTATGTGAAAGTGCCAATTATAGATTTTTGTATCACATACTTTCTTATTCTAAATAGTTCATTTATCCCTCACTAATCGTCTAAGTTTGACTCGAGGCTAATTCTTAAATCACACCTAGTCGTGCTGACTGCATGTTAACACAAGATGGCATTCTTCCCACCTCTGCTTTGTAACACTCGCTGTTAAGTCAAATCTGCTGCTACTAATGGGACTGCTCTGTGATTTCCTGTAAGAGGTTCTGTGTGCTCTAGTAGCTGAGCAGAAATGTTGATTTAGATATTTAGCCTTTTATTGAGTCAGGGAGTTCTTGTCTCTCACTTTAATGCAATTTGCTTCCTAGTCTCTCCTCTGCACATCCCCTGACCAGTTTTACACACAGGCACAAAAAGCAGAAAGCAAGTCAAAGTTCTAGTAATTGTCACCCACTACATGAAGCTTTCATAGTGCTGATTTTAAGAGAGGAATAGAAGTTTGTTTAAAAAATATGGGCGAAAGGAAGTATTCATGGGAGTTGGAATTTGGCATCTTTCAATTGCAGATAACAAGACTACAAAGTTTTAGAGCCCTGCAGTGTAGAGTAAAACTCTCAGGTATGTGTTATCCTTGTTCATCAGGTTTGGTCGAAAGCGAACTTTGAGTACGTTTCTGTTTCTGGGAGGCCTGGCTTGTCTTATTGTCATGTTTCTTCCTGAAAAGAAAGGTAAATGTTTCTTTTTGTTTCTGAAATACTTGGTTGTAAACATATTCTACACTCTAAAGAGTTTGTTGCTTAGCTTATGCACATGAGTGTCTCCACTGTGAAGCCAGAGAATTTAAGACACAGAATAGCAGTCTTCCTAGGAAGACATCAGCAAGTTTGCTGATGATACGCAATTGGGAGGAGTAGCTGATACCCCAGAGGACTGCGCTGCCATCCAGAGGGACCTGGACAGACTGGACAACTGGGCAGTGAAAAACCTCATGAAATTCGACAAGGCCAAGTGCAAGGTCCTGCACCTGGGGAGAAATAACCCCAGACACCAGTACAGGCTGGGGACCGACATTCTGCAAAGGCAGCTCTGCAGAGAAGGACCTGCGCGTCATGGTGGCCGACAAGTTGACCATGAGGCAGCAGTGTGCCCTCGTGGCTAAGAAGGCCAGTGAGATCCTGGGATGCATTAAAAAGAGCGTTTCCAGCAGGTCGAGGGAGGTGATCCTGCCCCTCTACTCAGCCCTGGTGAGGCCACATTGGCAGTATTGTGTCCAGCTCTGGGCTCCCCAGTACAAGAGGGATGTGGAGCTGCTGGAGAGAGTCCAGCGCAGAGCCACAAGGATGATCAGGGGCTTGGAACATCTGCCCTATGAGGAAAGGCTGAGAGCGCTGGGCCTGTTCAGCCTGGAGAAGAGAAGGCTGAGAGGGGATCTAATCAGTGTCTATAAGTACCTCAAGGGAGGGAGTGAGGTGCTGGCCTCTTTTCAGTGGTGGCCACCGACAGAACTAGAGGAAATAGCCAGAAACTGAAGCACCAAAAGTTCCACAGGAACTTAAGGAAAAATTTCTCGGCAGTGAGGGTGACAGAGCACTGGAAGAGGCTGCCCAGAGAGGTTGTGGAGTCTCCTTCTCTGGAGATCTTCAAAACCTACTTGAGTGCAGTCCTGTGCCACATGCTTTAGGTGACCCTGCGTGTGCAGGAGAGTTGGACTAGATGACCTCCAGAGGTCCTTTCCAACCTTAAGCATTCTGTGATTCTAAGAGCTTAAAGAAAGCTACTGAAAAAGCTTTGGATTTTTACCACTTGACGTTGGATTCCATCCTATATTTTGATCTAATCAGTCACTCCTTTCCAATGCCTTGAATTCTGCTTAATCTCAAAGAATGATATTGCTTGGGATATCTCTCTTTAGCCAAATGAACAGTGTTGACAGTACCCATCAGTCTTGTGCATCTTTAGGTAAAAGCCTAGTGTCAAAAGACCTCAAGAAATACATATTTGGGCAGATTTCTCTGTTCTCGCTGCTCAATAAAGTTCAAGAAGTTTGTAGTTAGGTTCTGTAATGTGGCCACATCATTCAGAGAGCATTTTGGAAATCTCCTGAACCAAGGGGTCTTTAAGAAATGCTAAAATATGTGGTTTTTTTTCCAAAGATTGATGTTCACTTCTTGTTTTTAGATGTTTAAAATATAGAAACACAAATATGTACAGTGAACACTTTCTCCTTTGAAAACAAAACTCATAAATAAATCTCAGTAATATTTGAACATGGATAACATCTATTCTAAGGAGCAAAAATGCTTTAAATGGCTTCTCTCTTCTACCTTGAACACTAGTTCAGTACTGTAATCTTTGGGTCTGTCCAGTCATTTAATCTAGCCTTTCAAGGTTGGATTATATTTAATGGAATGCAAACAATTTTAGGCTAGGGACAAGTCTGCCTTCAATTTGGAATACTTTTATGATTACATTTCACAATGTGTTTTATGGAGAGTTTTCTTCTTTGTGCAATTCAAATCGCATGAATAAAGAGAGCACATCTCTAACCACAGAATATGAATTTTGTTGGGTGACTTCTGGAATTGCTGTCTTAAAGCCTCTTTGGATTCTCTTGATTTCTGAGAATTCTCCTGAAAATACAGATCTTCTTTGACAAATACTGTTTTCAATAGAAAAATGCTAGTTCTTCTTAGCAAGTTCTTCAGTAGATTTATTTTCACTCCATACTGTTGTGTGGTTGAAGTAATTACTGAGACCTATTTCTGTATGGTCTGTACAAGGGTCCCATTTTTTCTGTCAGACACAGGAGTGTTTGCAGTGGTGAATAGTCGCTCTCTGTCTTTGCTGGGAAAGCTGACGATCAGTGCTGCGTTTAACATTGTTTACATCTATACGTCGGAACTCTATCCCACGGTGATAAGGTAATGGCAGTTAGTCTTCGTGTTTGTGGTTCCTCTGTGTGATCACACTTTATGTGTCTTTTTAAATATTAACTACACATTTTTGTTTGAGGTTTTCACTTAAATATAATGGTTGCATGGAGACTCATATTATTAAGCTGCTTCTGTTGTCTTCTCACTTCTTATGCCTCCCTCAAATTTGCACGATGCTCTTCAGAATAATTGTATTCCATGTACACCAGTAAAATATTTTTTATATGGTTAGTAAGCACACAGACATCTCTCCACTGATGAGGATGACAATAATGTTGTTAAAATTACTTTGAGTGACATCTCTAACTTTCTAAATGCTTTATAAGATGGACAACTCTATTAAATATTCATGCTCGTATAACTAGCAACACTGAAGATGACCAGTCAATAAGTTTTGATGCTTCATAGGCACATATGAGCAAGGGAGTAAGGATTCATTTGGCAGAGACGGAACTGCTCCATGCTTGTCGTGACAGAGTAGGCAAAAGCATCTTTTCTGCTGGTACAATTTTCCTAGATAATTTTCCAAGGTATGACCACTGATGACCAGCCACCAATAAGGATGTACTATAGCTTTTTTCATGTTTTAGCACATCTGCTGATAAATACAGTTGGGGTAGGGGAATTCATCCTTACTTTTAGAAATGGATGAGATGCTTTGATTGGAATCATGCTTTTTGTCTGTTTCTGTGTATACATGTCCTAGAATTCTGCATATGCTCCTGACTTTTGCCTCTCTCTAAGCACAGAGCATAGATATTATTTCTGTCTTGGATTACTTTCAGTTGCATGTCACTTTTATTTGCCAGATAATGTGATCAGAGTCATAGCTAATGTTTTCTTTGTTGATAGAATTTTTTTTTAATTCCTCTTATGTGAATGCAATTGATTAATGGCTGTCATTTTCTTCTTAGGAATGTTGGAATGGGTGCCTGCTCCATGTTTTCACGCGTTGGTGGGATCATTGCTCCCTTCGTCCCTTCGTTGGTTTGTCTGAACTTCTTACTACTTTATTTGTATTTTTGTTCTATGTGTCTCATGCATCAGAGACCTGCAGAAGTGGGGATAAGATCTAAGATATACGACTTGACAGTATTGTGGTAGGCCAAGGCATTGAGATGTAATCTGTGTATCAGACAGGATTCCCATCATTTAGTTCAGAAGATGCCTTAGCTCTATAAAAATTCGGGCACTTAGCCTTTGTAATTCAACAGTATGGTCATTTCAAGATACCAAGATGATTATTCCAATTTTAAAACCTAAGTGAGCAGTAGCAAAAGAAAGAAAAATATAATATTTGGAAGACTTGCTGCCTCAGATGGTAAAGCACAAAGGTTCAAAACTGTTATTTCTGAGAAGACTGGATCGGCTTCTGTTAGCATTACTGTCACTACACTTCACTAACTCCATGTGGATTATAATTATCAGCAGGGCATTATATCTTTGACTGAGCTAAGATAATGCTTTAGAGACCTGACATACCCACAAGGCTTCTGAGCACAAACTTCAGCAGCCTTTCAGGGCAAAGAACCAAATATGGGGATGAAGCAAAACCATAAAATTATTTTCCCTCTAAATTTATGGGCAGGTGTGTATATAGGTGAAATAAAGGCCCAGTTTCAAACTGCTTGCGTAAACCAGGTGAGAATTCCTTTAAAGTGACAGAGATTTTATCCGGAATACTTTTTTTCTGTGCCATCTTCCATTTTATTACTGCAGGCAGAGAGCAACGTGCAGGCAAGCACGTTGAGCCTTTTGGTCTGTAGAATGAACGGTGTGGGGTAGGTGAGAGCTCCTCCCAGGCTACTCTAGGCAAAGTAAAGGCTGGTGTAGGTCTTTCTGAGAGACTTAGGCTGTTTTTATGCAGCAAACTACATTACATTGTATCTGCTAGGGATTTGGAACTGCAGGAGGTAAGAATCATTAACCTTGGAGCATCATCTCTGAGGAGGTCCCATGAAAACAAAATAAATCAGTTTCTTATTTTTAATTTTTTTTAAGAACATTTACTTGAGGTTTTGAGAACATAACAATTACCTTCTTTAGCTACTTTTTTTTTTTTTTCGTTGGACTTGCCACAGAGAATGGCTGTAAAGGTTAAATGCTTGAATATACACTATGAACTGAACGGGCCAACCTCTGTTTAACCATTCTGCTCTTGTTTCCAGAAATCTGTGCAGTGGTCTCTGCCATACATTGTGTTTGGAGTGACTGGTCTTCTGTCTGGGCTTTTAAGCTTGTTGCTGCCAGAGACATTAAACAGCCCTTTGTTAGAAACCATTTCAGACCTGCAGGTATGCACATACTGGAGATTGGGTGATGAAGCCATGTCATTGCAAGCACTGGATGGCTCTCAGGTATGTTCATTTTTCTTCTTTGTACTTTTTCAGTGTATTTATTTCAGCTCTCAGCTTGTATATGCCACAGGCTCTACTATATTAGGACAGTGATTCTTGGCCTGTGGATGATTATTGTTGTTTTGTGAATGGCATAGATATAGAAAAAAGTAACTGTAAAGTTGGAAGTGGATGTTTAAATCTAGGTAAGGGTTAATGTTAAATCCTGGTTCCTAAATTCTAAATGTGAAAGATTGATAAAGATTGAATAAGAACACTTATTCAGAACATTTGGAAGGGTCAGTCTTAAAGAAATCAAATGTTGTCTATCCCATTAGAGTGAGTTGAGGCAGGATCCCTTTAAGTTTCTAGTGAAACAGTCCAAGATTCACAGATAATCATAGATCGATTTTCACGGAAATCAGAGGCAGAATAAAATTTATTTCTAGAATTGGAGCAGTTGTTTCCTTTCAAAGGAACAAAAAAACATGTTGCCTTGTTTACTAAGTTTAGCTGTAATAATTCTTGACAAGGCAGTAGTTTGGTGACAAAAACTGCTGTTAAGCCTGAAAGAGGCAACCCTGTTAACTGTTAATTTTGTACTTTATCTACTTTACATGCACATTTTATAAAACACTTTTAACCATACTAGGTAATGTGCTGTGGCACCACATGCTTGCTGGCTACAGAAATCCATCATATACACTTGCATCGAGTTTATATCTGCTGTTATTTACATGATTACGTTGTTACTACAACTTAACCTTGCAGATGGCTTACTAACCAGAAACAATTCTAGCAAACACCTCAGATATTTTGACTGAGAGGGAGAAAAATCACATTTTATTTTCCTTTCTTATCAAATAGGGTCAGTACAGCCCTTTGGGGTAACCAGTATTGTCTGCATATCAATATTCACGCAACTCGGTTCACTTATGTCAAACAGTCTTCTCGGGTTCAAATCTTCCCTGCTTGAATTTCTGCAGGCTTTTTAAAAATCCTAGCCTCAACACGATCCACTAAAGAAACAAAAAATTGAGAATGCTTTTCAGGAACCTTCTTCCCCAGATGGATTCAGATGATTGAAACCAAAAGAAACAGAAAGAGCCAGTTTGGAGCCTGGAGTGATAGCGTAACTTCAGTGAAGTTACGTCTGGAATGTCTGTGACACTCCAGGGATTATTTTAAAGCTACCAACAAAGAAAGCACAGAGAAAATGGAAAGCTGTTAAACATTAACCCTATTTGACAAGGCTGTGGGAGGTGTCTTGTGGAGCTGCCATAAGTAGGTTGTAAAATCTATTTGGCATACCCTGAATTCCCCCTGTGGAATCCATTGTCCTTTTGTACCACCTTCAGGATAGCATGCGTGCTGCTTGCCCAGAATGTTTTTTTCCCCTGTTAACATACATGAATGTGATGTTCAAATTGGACAGCATCGAGCAATAGCCTGACTTTCCTTGAATAATTTTAGGAATTCAGAAAAAAATCATAACATGATTCCCTTTATATCTTCTGACAGTTCTTAGTGCTCAAACTGTTTGAAATTCCTTTGCAGTTAACACATTGCTATAACAAAACTGCTCTGAAGACAGATCTAAAGCTACAGATTTTGCTTGCATAGTTCTGTCAGTCAGGAATATGATTTCCATTTTTTTTTTCCTTCTCTCACTCCTCACATATAACTAGGCAGGCAGAGGTCTGAAGGTGGAAGCAGGCATACTGGAAAAAAATCCTAGAACTAGATGCAGTTTAGATTAGCAAGATAATCCAAACTTGGATAGCTAGTATTAGGCAATGGAGAAATATTACAGTGGCCGAAAGAAATGATTTAGCTGCAAGAGCTGGCTTTTGGTTATGTATATGGTATAAATTATGTAGTTAAAATGACTTTTTGGGGTAAAATATGCCTGTAATAGAAAGTTTGCTGTCTGAACATATGATTTTTTTTTCTCCACTGTTCTGTAACACTTTTGGCTAGTATTGCAGAGGAATCTTTTGAAATGCAACATCTCCATGCTACACATGGTGACATAATTTAAAAGCTTTTATCTAATCAAGTAATCTATGTGTTCAGAGCATTTATTCCAATAGATCACCAGGGAATAGACTTAAGTTGTTAAAAGTGAGGAAGCTGAGTAAACTGCCACTTCGGAACCATCCTAGCAGTGCTGCTCCTGCATGTATTCTCCACAGTGTGCTGATAAAGGGAGCAGAGTCCATTCAGTAGAAGCCAATTTCTTTTCAAGAGATTTTGAAGAATCGAGGAGACACAGATTTGATTCACATAAATCTCGTTTTTGCTGTTTTAATAAAGTCATTTGACCTATCTTTTTCTTTTTCTTTCTTTTTCTTCATGCTTGCATGTTGTTTTGACGTTCATTGGTGGGTTCTCTGTTAACCAATGACTTTGTTTTGCTTTCTAGTCTGGAGACAAAGATAGTTCTGCAGGCAGTGAAAGTGAAGATGAGGAGTTTTACGATGCTGATGAAGAAACCCATATGATCAAGTAATGAAAAGAAGAAATGATGATCTACTTTATGCCTTTTCGTACTTGTCCAGTCAGTCCAGCTGTAAGACAAGAATATTGGGAACCACTTGTTCAGGGGACATAACTGGACTAGTGCCTGTGTCTGTCCTATATTAGGAAAGGGCTTTGAGTACTGTTCAGGTTCATTACACCAGTGATGGTTTCCATGTGTGACAGCCGCTCAAATTCTTGTGGTTCAGGATGTCAATATGCAGACTGCGTTTGAAGCCAGGTGAGATGGCAAGGGAGGGATAATGTGTTTCTGAAACCTAGAAAGTTATTCAACATTTGGACAGGTCGTCAATGCACACACTTGCATTTTCTTTTCAGGGTGGTTTATTCTGAGTCAGCATAAACAGCTAAAGCTGAAAACATACACTTTTTTTTTTTTTTTTTTTTTTTTTTTTAAAATGAATTTGGTCAAAATGGTTTTTTTTTGTAGAATGACATTGGTCACAATGTGATGTTTCTACTACTCCAGTGAGAACAAATTCCTGAAACTGTACATTAAAATGGTTTCAGGAGGCTGAGTAGGGGAGAGGCAAACAGTGAACATATGGTATCTCCTTTTGCACTTGGACAGACTTTGTAAGGTTACTGGGTCCAGCTGCTTAGTCATAAGATCGGCACAAAGTTAGTAATGCTGGGAGGAGGGGCCATGGGAAAGTCCAGTCATAAAATCTGTAGACATATGGGTCATTGTTGATTTCTTTTGCCTTCCTTTCACTAAGCATTTATTTTCTGGCTGCCTTATGTGCAGGTTTGCCATGTGTTCCTACATCTCAAAATTGCTGCTACATAGTTCAGCTTACGTTAGCCTTGTCCTTGCTTTGGCATGAGTTTTGAAGCTCAACAACTTCTCTGTCTTTGCAGTGTAATAAAACTCTTAGAAGAACTAACTTTACAAGTGGAACGCAAGTGAGGTATTTATCACATCCCATGTAATGAGGTGTGTGCTAGAATATTTGCGTCATATTTTTGTGGAAAAGCTGTGTCAATATTTCTGGAAGAAACTTGATGCTGACATGGTATGAAGAATTAGGTTGCTGCTACATTTTGGGGGTTATTGCCAGAATGCTGCTATTATTTATTTTAAATTATTGTGTGTGATAGAGTTCTTAAAATTATTTGAGACCGCATTTATTTAGACTTGACCTTGCTAAGGAAGAAAATTTTATTCTCCTGTTCACACTGAACTTCTTAGAAATTAGAGGGATGTGGAATCCTGAAATATGTAATATGAGCATATGAAATATTGCCAGCTATGAGGATGAGGCCTTTCTATAAGGATCAAGTTTTTCTTGATTACAGTCATCATTTGGCTTGTGCTATTTATGAAGTTTGGTTTCCATAAAATGCTTGTAGCTTTTATACTTGGAGTTCCCAGTATAGTGATACAGAATGTCTGCAAGTACATTGTCAGAGTTGCTAGCCGTTTTTTGTGTATATTAGCTTAAACCTGGGTTTAATTAAAAATATAATAAAGAAACGGAAGTGAAGTCTGCTGAATTTATTCTACTTAAATAGGGAAGTTTGTTTACTCTGAGAGGAAATGAGAGTAAACAGTATCTGGCGTGTATGGCAAGCAGCTTGAACTTTGTTCCCTTGGAGCCTGTAACACTGAGCTGAGCAAAGTACAACGAGCCTGGTTAGTGCAGAGAGCAGCCCAGAGACTTCAGATCTTAGCATGCAGCACCCCTGCTTGGCTGAGCTTTACCTGGGCATTTGTGGTGAGCGAAGCAGGGACCTTCATTCCCTGTGCACCATGCATCAGTTCAGTGATGGCGACTTCCTTGACATTGCCGTTACGGGAATCGTTGGAAGAATTCCAGCCTGCAGCCTTCCCTTTATTTTATTTTTTGTTAGTTGCATAGTTCTTGTGGATGTGGCAGGATGCTGTAAACTGTTGCAGGATATTCTTTCTGCCTTATTTAGCCCTCCTGTGTGCAAGAATGCATTACTGCAGCTAAGTCACCTGAAATGCTTGGAAAGTTTGATTCCATTTGAAGGTGTTTTGTTGTGATGTTTTTTGTTCGGTTGTTTGTTTAAGTTTTGCATTCACATTTCAAATTATGGACAGCCAGAAAAATAGCTTTTGCTTTCCTTTGTTTTGTTGTTTATGATTTCAAATATATAAAAACCTGCTTGTCTAGATGCAAACAGTGGCAAGCCTACAAATACTAGCATTCTGCCATGCCTTCAAGTTTCTTGGGGGATTACTGTGTTTCTCCCAGTTTGGACAGTAGCTAGTGAGTGTTCCCAGCTCCACAGGTTTATTGTCACTTGTGGTGCTTGCAGCCTTAGTCATGCCAAGACATACTTCAATGTAATTTTCATTGCAGCAGTAGGATATTTTAACAGATCAGAGGTCAGATCATTTTGCAGGAGTTGAATTGCGTTTTATAACTGTCCTGAATTTATAGTGCAACTCAGCTCTCCACTCATGCATTTTTATATTGTAAATTATATATGTAAAATTGTAGAAACAACAGTGAAGAAAATATCCACATTTCTTTTTTCTGTAAAAGTTAGCGCACTTTTTTTAAACCTTTATTTACATCTGTGCCATGTTTTCACCTATGGAACTGCTTTTTTGGATTGTCCATAGGGGACTCTTTGCTGTTACTTTTCCTGGCCAGTTAATTCAGCTATTTTATAAGAGGCAATCTCTCTTGGAGGAGCTCAGCAACGGAGCATTAGCATTCTTAAAATTACTTTGCCTCCCTTTCTGCGTGCTCTGAAGTCCAAATCCCTTATTTGTGTTTAGTTTCTTTACTGAATTTTCTGTAAAGCTGGCTTTCTGATACAGAAACCTGTAAAATCAGTTTTCCTTACCCAGGACATACAACGCTTTATAATATGAGGCCCTTGCACCATTTGTAGCACTCACTGAGGAGATATGTCGCTGAGTGCTTTGTAGCACATGCGGCCAGCATATTCTGCACCTAGATGGACTAGATGGAGTATTACTGTTATGCAGATGTTCTTCAGCTGAACAGTGCCTGCCACTGTGGGTCTCAGTACAGGTTACTGGAAAGCTCGAGTCATAAGAACAGAGAATGCCTGATTTTCAAACTATATATGAGCAGCCTGGGTAGGTCCAGTGCAGTGAGCCTGTGCTGAGATGCTGCTGGAGAGCTGCTGCAGCACTAGATAGATCACTGTGTATGGCACACTGTAAGACTAAGGCTGGGAGAGAGCCGCTTTCCTTGCCCTCGTCGAGTGCAGCGCGGCCCTGGAATCCCAAGGCCTGTTGCCAGGGCGCTTTGTACACGAAGCAGCCGGCGCCTCTCACTGCTTCCCGCATTGGGCAGGCACGAGGGCACTGCCAGAGGGGAAACACCTTCCCTTTTCAGCCAGATTATTTGGGATTGCGTTAGAGATGAAGCTTCTGCACAAGCCTGATTAGTTGGCTCTTACCAGAGTCTCCAGTGAGACGTGTTTGGGATTGTGTCACCGGGAGAGCCCACTTGCAGTGAGTGAGTACAGGTAGGAGTACAGGCAAAGGTAGGAGTGATGGGCAGAGACAAGTCATGTGAGACAATGTGAAGGAGAAATAGCCAAAGGGCTTGAAAAGAGTAGGGGATTCAAAGAAGTGTGCTACAGCAAGGGTAAGTGAACACAGAGGATACTTTCTCATGGGGAGAAATGCACTTCATGCTGTTCGTGTCGTCTTGAAACTCCTCCTTTCAGAGCTAGCATTGGTTCCAGGATGTCCTGTCATGGGCACAGGTTTCATCATTCCCTTCTTAATTTGCCAAGTTTGCCAGCACTGCTGCTTTAATGATGACACTTTGTCTTTTTATGAAGATAAAATAGACATGACACTTCTCAGTTCTCTTTGGGACCTGTCTTTTTTGCTAACTCTCTTATGATTAAAATTATTAAAATTTCTAAGCCATCTGATGAAGAGTATGTATCACTGTAAGGCATCACTTAACTTACCAGCTTCATTCTGGAAAAAGGTTGGAAGATTAAAAGTATTTGAACGCTTCTGAAGTGCGATACTTCAGCCTTCTAAAAGGATTTTGCTACCTGGTTGGTTTTTTGGTAGGTCGAAGAGTGATTTGACATGTTTATTTTTTTTTTAATCCACTTCCCTCAGTCAAACAAAGATAATCATCATCTTGTTAGGCCTGGGAAAGTGCTGCATTTCAGGGATTTCCTCAGTGATCCTTTAATAGCACAAAATGAGAAGCTCTATATCAAACCAGAGCTGGAGGTGAATCGGTGTTTAGATCAGGGTGCTAAATGACAAACACAGCCTCTCTCCAGAGACGCTGAGTCAAGATGGAGCAGATTTTTGCTAGTTGCCACCTTTGTTATGGTACAGGCTGTAAAGATTGCAGTCTCACATGGATCAGCTTGCAGTGTGCAGTTGTGGCAGAGCTACAGGCCACGTGACTCCACTGAAATTAGTCATCTATCCATCTATCCCTGGCAGAACCATGGAGAATACAGCTGAGTGTTTTCATCTAAGGGTGTCAAAGCAGTCTGCAAGAAATCGCTGCTTTCTTAAGTGTGCTAAGGAGGAAGAGGGTGGAAGGAACAGAGATGCTTATTTGTCCTAGAGCATGTTAATGAAAAGGCCTTGGCTATGGCTCTTGTTCCAGATTTTTTTTGTGTGTGTGTGATTTTGTAATGTAGGTTTGGTCAGTATTTTATAATTGTTTCAGCTGAAGGATGGTATTGCAGTCTGTAGCTTTCCCTATACTTGTTTGAGCTTCTTTAAGCATGGTCTTTGACACAACTGAATCTAGGCATTGCGTGCAAGTTGCCAGCCTGGCAGTAAATATGTCAGAAAAGCGCATGAGAATCACTGTCTTTTGGTGGAAGTTAGTCTGGCCTGACAGGTGTACAACTGTGACAGAAATATCTATCTTCAGCTGTTCTCTAACCAGGGCATTGTGGGGTAGAGCTGGATTTTGAGTCTCATATATCTTAATGCAGGGTGTGTTTAGTGGAGGAATGATTCCCACATAAATAATTCTCTGTAGTAGATCTAATTGTAGAAGCCAGAAGGTGAAGAAATTTACATCATAATATTCCATGTTAAGTAGTTGAATACCTTGTCCGGTATATGGCAGCCTTCAAATTGTTCAGGTAATGGCTTCTTTAAGCCTAACAGAGCTGTATAAAGATATCATCTTAACTGTTTCAATTGATTGAATTTATTTAAATTTATATAATCATATTTTAGTACTGAAGGCTTCTTTTGTCATCTGAAAAAGCTCCCATGTTGCCTAAGGGGGAAACAGATTTTTCTGCTCTAATTTATTTGAAGTGCCTGTATCATAAAAGGCCTTTTAAATGTCCTCAATCAGCTTGATATGGA